CGGCACACTAGTGTGCCGCGGCACAGTGGTTGAAAAACACTGGTTTAGACTGCACTTGGCATTTTTATCCATCTATCAAACCTTCCTGGTATACTAGCTTCAATGCATCTTCTGTGCAGGAAATGTATTCTATTGGCTGTAGTCAGATTCCCATGGGGAAATGTGGGGCCGTGTTTGTCGGAATCAAGTTTGGTGATGCTGGAGGGTGATGCAATTTTGTGTGTCCAATCCAGTGGTGGGTTTCAAAAATTGTTCGAACCTATTCTGTGGGTGTGGCCTCCTTTGTGGGAGTGGCTTGCCGCCCATGTGACCGGATGGGAGTGGCTTGCCGCCCATGTGACCGGATATGCTTCAGTATCCTTCTCCTGCCACGCCAACCAAGCCACGCCCACAGAACCGGTAGTCAAAAATATTGTCTTCCACCACTGATGCAGAACAATAACCTCCAAGACAAGAGGACGTTAAGGAAGTGCTCTTGAAGTGGCCCACTGCTAAACCATGGTATCTGGAAAATGAGCAGAGGCCCAGATGGTCACATTCTCCGCTGCATTCTGCTGACAGCGTATCTCTATTTAAATCACAGGCATTATTCCTAAATCGGCATTATAAAGGTTAATTAGCATCTGCTCGTTTCAATGCACCTTGTGGTTATCGTGTGTCCTCTCGACTGGCGATGCCTCTCCTGTCCCTCTTGCAGGCCTCACTTCTCCCTCGTCTCCATACCTCCAAACGTGGCATCCTCTTGACGAGCATCATTGCTGCCATCTGAGTTCTTAGACAGCATTAGGAGAGGCTGATCGAAGCCCCGTGCCACACCCTTCCCAAGCTGGTGTCCTCCGTGCACGTAAGGGGCTACCAAACCCATAAACCCACTCCACCGTAGCTAACCCATCTGGAGGGCATCTGGTTGAAGGAGGCTTGCCGAATGCTGCCGGGTAGGAAACGGCGCCGGAATAATTGATCAGGTTTCCTTTCCATTTCCCTCCTTCTCCGTCTCTTGAAAGAACGGCCTCGTTGTGATTCCTCCACACAAATTCAGACACGAGACGGAATGATGACTTTTTGGGGGCTTCCATCGGCTTCCTGGCCAGGCTCGACGGGCAGCAGAGAATGCCCGCTGAGCGATGGCAGCAGACAGCTCCTCCCCAACCATGTTATGCCCGAGTCCCCCCCTGGCCAGGGGACCTGGCTGATTTTAATTTCTGCCGGTTGAAATGTATTTATTGTTTGATGGCCTGCTGGATGATGAGGCTGTGGGCTTGTCAAGCGTCCTTGCCAGGTTTTTACACACACCCCATCCCAGGTGGAGAATTGTGATAAACAGCCTGGCATCACTTCACATGGAATGACCAATGAAGAGTAATATATTTTTAATGGGCAGAATGTTTAATAAACATCTATTCTCCTGTTACTCTAACATTGCCTTTTTTTAAAGGAAAGGAAAGGAAGAAGGGGGATTGCCTTGAGCCATGTAGCTCTCCAGCTGAGGGTTTTATAACACAATTTTCTCCCCATCATTAGAGGTTATAACTGTCATTCCAGCTGCTCTTGATGTAAGATAGTAGCCCTACTTTTTTAAAAAGATAAAGGGGGGAAAAAAAGAAAGAACAGCACGATATGGAAATAAAAAAAAATGGGTTAGTTGCACACAGGGCTTGCCAGGATTCAGCCCTAGAGGCAGAGGTAGGAGTCAGCCGGTTTGGACCAGTTCGGCCAAACTGGTAGTTCCAGTGAGCATTTGGCCCCACCCACCCACCCCTCCCTGCGCTTTTCGGTCCTATTTTTCCTCTATTTTTTTAGCTCAGCTGATTCGCACAGCACAGTGGATTTACTCACAGGCGCTGACATAGAAGGTAAGTTTTGAAGCTTTAAAAGGTTGTTTTTTGGCAGATTTTTTAAATTATTTTTTNCCGACTCCCTTCTTGTGTTAATCTGTTTTTCCATTAGCTAAGGGATGGTTTTAATTTTGTCCTCTGTTCTCCTCCTCCTCCTCCTCTTCCTCTTTCTACTAGTCCTGATGATATTCCACAGCAAAGTGAAGAGGTAGGGGAAGTGCCAATCCCCCCATCCCTGTGTGTGTGTGTGAGAGAGAGAGAGAGAGAGAGAGAGAAGAGAAAAAGAAAGAAAAAGACAAAAAGAAAGAAGGAAAGAAAGAAAGAAAGAAAGAAAGAAGGAAAGAAAGCGAGAGCGAGCCACCGCGTCCCTGAACTCTTATATATACAAAATGTTTAATTATTTCTTTCTTTCTTAATGCTTTTGTCCCATGTCTTTTCTTTTTTCCTCGTTTTTTCCCCCAGGAGTTGAAGCAAATTCGAGAGGAGACCAAGAAACGGGAGAGTGAATCTTTTATCCCCCCAGGTAAAAACGAAAAGTTGTCTGAATACATGCTGCCGAATTTCAAATATTCCTGAAATTATTGCTCGCATAACGACAAAATAACCCCTGACTTATTCAGTTCATTTCGTGACCGTTTGGAGTTACGACAGCATTGGAAAAAAGGGGCTTACGGCCGTTTTCCCCCTCTCGTGACCCATTACAGCGTCCTCGGGGGGGGGTCACATGATCAAAACTGGCAACGGGCTCATATTTATGACGGTTGCCATGCGTCCCCCAGGCTCACACGATCCCCTTTTGCGCCCTTCTGACAAGCCAAGTCAACGGGGAAGGCCAGATTCGCTTAACAACCAGATCGCAAACCGTAGAACGGCCGCGATGCACTTAACAAACGCGGCAAGGGAGCGTCGTAAAAAGGAGCCCAAAAATTCGCTCTTTCGACGAACGATCTCATGTTGCGGCAGAAATCTGGGGCTCAGTTGTGGTGGTAACGCCGAGGACTTGCCCGTTATCGGCTCCTCGGATCATTCTCTCCGCTCCTTGCAACTGCCGTAAAAGTGAAGTCACCGATCCGGCACCCCGGAAAATGTAGAACTGTGAAATTCCACCTTGTTCCTTAGCTTTCGGCCGCCGGACTCTCCGTTCTCCCTGATCCATCTGCCAATTGCATGTCATTTCGGAGCCGGGTAATACGAGCCGACAATCAGAGAGAGAAAGGGGGAGTCGATGGCCACTTGGCTCACTTCTTGCACTCAGAATAATGCGCCGGAGACAGCCAGGCGCTGTTCACCTGGAAGAGCTCGCGGCCTGCATTCCCGTAATCCTCCCCAGGTGAAGCGGAGCACAGGCAGGAGCAAGCCAGTTAATGATTCTTTATTGCAAAGCTACATTAACAGGCTTTTGTAAGCATGGAAGTGCATTCCTTTCGCCCCCCCCCTGCCCCCCTCTACAGGCCAAAACACTAGGGAGGGTCCCTTCTGAATCTCTCCCTCTTTCTCGAGGTAGTCCGTGATGTACGACGACAGTTAAGTCCAAGATTTCTGTTGCTAAACGAGACCGTTAGTGAATTTTGCAAGCCTGAAAGTGCATTCCCCCTCTACAGGCCAAGACACTAGGGAGGGTCCCTTCTGAATCTCTCTGTCTCTGTCTCTGTCTCTCTCCCCCTCTCTCCCTCTCCTTCTCTCTCCCGGTAGTCCTCAACACACGACCACAGTTAAGTCCAAGATTTCTGTTGCTAAACAAGACAGTTAGTGAATTTTGAAAGCCTGAAAGTGCATTCTTTACCCTGACCCCTCTCTACAAGCCAAGACACTAGGGAGGGTCCCTTCTGAACCCCCCCCCTTCTCAGTAGTCCACAACACACGACCACAGTTAAGTCCAAGATTTCTGTTGCTAAACGAGACAGTTAGTGAATTTTGAAAGTCTGAAAGTACATTCTTTACCCCTCAATCCCCCTCTACAGGCCAAGACACTAGGGAGGGTCCCTTCTGAACCTGTCTCTCTTTCTCTCTCTCTCTCCCACTCTACCTCTCTCCCTCTCCCTCTGTCTCCCGGTAGTCCTCAACGTATGACCACAGTTAAGTCCAAGATTTCTGTTGCTAAACGAGACAGTTAGTGAATTTTGCAAGCCTGAAAGTGCATTCTTTACCCCTCAATCCCCCTCTACAGGCCAAGACACTAGGGAGGGTCCTTTCTGAATCTCTCTGTCTCTGTCTCTCTCTCTCTTTCCCACTCTACCTCTCTCCCTCTCCCTCTCTCTCCCGGTAGACCAAGATTTCTGTTGCTAAACGAGACGGTTAGTGAATTTTGAAAGCCTCAAAGTGTATTCTTTACCTCCCAATCCCCTTCTACAGGCCAAGACACTAGGGAGGGTCCCTTCTGAACCTGTCTCTCTTTCTCGAGGTAGTCTTGACACAGAACCACAATTGAGCTGGGACTTTGTCTGCCAATGCTACTGAATCCTTTGACTTGCATTTGACTTTTCTCCTCATTCTCTGTCCCTTTCTTCTGTCTATAGACGTTCCTAGTAGTTCGTTGTTCCACATGGGACACCGGATCAATCACAGGGATATGGGCCACTTCCGAGAGGTTCCGGACTCCGTTTTTAAGGTGACTGTGAAGTGGGGAAAGGAAGACCTCCTGACTCGAAAAAAACAAACAAACGTTTTGGCAAACTAGGTAGCAAGTTTGAGAAAAGTATTCTTGAAAGGTAGCAAATATTGATATTATGTTTTTTTTTAAAATCTCATTGGGGATTTCTCTCCAGCTGGAAGGATTTAGCTTTTTTCTTTTTAATCTATAATAGTTTATTAATGCCTATCTATTTAAGTGTTTCTCAACCTTGCCAACTTTAAGATGNTCGGAGTCTCCAACGGCTCCTGCTGGGCCACAACAGATATAGATATATATCTGTACAGATAAAAGTATAGTGATATTTAACAATGTAGAAATGTTGCAAAAGTGATATTTATGTTTTAAAAAATGAAAAAAGTGATCAAAAAAATTTAATTAAAAAAAAAAAAGAAATTAAGGGCAGTCTTCCACTTAACAACGATTTGTTTAGTGATGGTTCCAAAGGACAACGGCACTGAAAAATGTGACTTACGACCATTTTTCACCATTTTTCACAAATGTGACTTACGACCATTGCCTCATCCCTAGGGTCACACGGTTAAAAGTTCAGTCTCTTGGCAACTGACATATTTATGACAGTCGCGGTGTCCTTTCGCGACCTTCTGACGAGCAAAGTCCATGAGGAAACCCAATTCACTTCATAATTTAACAGGGGTTCACTTAACAACGGTGGCAAGAAAAGTCGTAAAATGGGGCAAAACTCACTGAACAAATTCCTCACTCAGCCACATAAATTTTGGGCTCAATTGTGATCGTAAGTCGAGGACCTCTGTATACTTTACATCATGCTGTACTGAAGTCTTCAATTCTTCATTTTCTCTTCAAGGTTTATGAAGAAATCCAAACCGAAGAAGATTGCCGGTTTCCGCAGAGTAAATATTTGTGAATATTTTTTTCCCCATTTGGCATCATCACGAAATCTCCAGAACCGCAAAGCCCACAAACTTGAAATTCAGCACATCTGTTCCTCTTGGCTTCTAGGTGCTCGCCAAGAAAGGATTTTTCGAAATGACCATCAGACCATTAGTATTTCTTATAGTGTTATTAACACGTTCTGATGCTAAGAAGTTAGACATTCTACTCCCCCTCCCCACCTGAAAAGAACTCTGTTCCAACTGCCACTTGGGCATGGGTATGGCCAGTGTGTGACTCATCCGCCTAAGAACTGGGAGTTTAGACATTCTACTCCCCCTTCCCAACTGAAAAATGCTCTGATGCTAAGGAGTTAGACTTGAGGGAGAGAAGGGGATAAGATAGGAGAGGCCTCTGTGGGGCAAGCCTGAGGGAGAGAAGGGGATAGGAGGGGATCAATGGGGCCAGCCTGAGAGAGAGAAGGGGAGAGGACAGACCGATTGTAACTACGCATTCATTTTCAAGCTGTAAGTGTTGATCAATCAAGCCTGATCACATAGTGTCAAAGGGTATTCAGCTTGTCTCGTCATAAACATGAATTTTGCAAAAGAGTGATTTTATATGGGACTGAAGATTTTCTCAGGGACCCTTCTACCCTGAAGGTGATGGGTATTGTAGTCCAGGAGAACATCGGATTGGGGAAAGCTGACGTGGAATAAGTGAGTTTCTTAGGGTTGGGTAAGGGGCTGAGTTTGGGAGTGGTTTGTCTTTCTCATCTGTTCTTCTTTCATATAAGCTGTCTGTGTGTGTGTGTGTGTGTGTGTGTGTGTG